ATTAGCTGAATGTACTATCAATAAAATCCTGGGTCGCAAGTACTCACCTTAATATTTAAAAAAAAATATATATATATATGTGTATAAACAAATAATAATAAGCATAATATTAATAATAATACAGGCGTAGTAATTAAGGGTTGGCTATGACGATTATGCGCGGGGTATAGAGCACATAAATCAATAGTTTGGTATAGAATACTAACATAACAGACAGCAGAATAACATAATAACCGGAGAAGATACCCAACCCTGAACAAATACTCTTGAGCCAGCTGTCCTAAGTTGGAGTGAATCTATCTCTAGAAGCTGCTATGATTAATTATAAGTTTTTTATCTAAATCCATAATCCAGTCCAGGTAACAATGTCCTGGCACAAATACACAAAAAAAAAAAAAAAAAAAAAAAAACTGACAAAGCCCAACAAATCCTTAAAATGGAACCTAAAGACTATACTAACCTGATTCAGTACCTGACTAAGTTAGAGCTGCCTAGGGAATATTCAAAGAAACAAAACCGAAAGCTAAAGAATCAGTCCAGGTACTACATTGTACGAGAAGGAGTGCTGTATCGTAAGAACTGTCGAGAGCCTGATCGGCCTTTAAGGGTACTGAAGCATGAGGAAGTGAGAATAGTACTGAGTGCTTTACATGACAACCCCACATTCAGTCATTTAGGTGAAGAAGTGACAGTAGAAAAAGTGCGAATACAGTACTATTGGAATCAAATGATAGAGGATATTAAAAGCTACATACAGAGTTGTGACACCTGTCAACACCATGGGAAACCAAAAATGCAGAAGGCGTTACACCTGATATAGGTGGCACAACCTTTCGACCGAGTAGGAATGGACATAGTGGGGCCCCTGCCTCTTACGAAAAATGGTAACAGATACCTGGTGATAGCAATAGAGTATTTAATGAAATGGCCCGAGGTTCGAGTATTACCTGACTGTACAGCAGAGTCTGTTGCCACAATCATGTTAGAGGACATAATTGGTCGACATGGCTGCCCCTGACAGATTTTGACGGATCAAGGGACCCATTTTAAAAACCAGGTTATAGAGGAGGCCTGTAACCAGGCCAGTATCAAGCACAAATTCTCATCTACATATCACCCTCAGACCAACGGTCTTGTTGAACGGTTCAATCAAACCATCTGTGAGGCGCTAGCAAAATGCGTAAGTCAGTACCAAGGGGACTGGGACGAGTATGTGAGCCCCGCTCTTTTTGCTTGCAGGACGGCCAAGCATGATACGACCAAATATGACACCTTTTACCTAATGTATGGAAGAGAGGCTGTGTTACCCATAGAATTACTGCTAGAAACCTACCCTGTGGATCCTATGAACGATGACTACTACGAGTCCATGGTTTTAGCCTGAACCTTAAAATTGGTGGACAAACTGTTTAAAGTTCGGATCAAGGCACAGGAAAACATTCGCAAGGCCCAACAAAAGCAGAAGTGAAGCCACGACCGACAATACCCCTTGCAAAGTTTCGAGATTGGAGATAAGGTGTTAAGGTACCGGGCCAAGTTGGGAAAACAATTAGGCGGTAAGTTAGAGGAAAAGTGGTCGGGACCGTTCTGGGTGCATGATGTAATAGGTAATGGTACGTATCAATTACGTACGATGGAAAATAATGAAAAAGTCATAAAAGAGGCAGTGCACAGTAGTCAATTAAAATACTATAAAGCGCGAAATAACGACAGAATGAGGTAATGATAAAAATAAAAATAAAAAAAAAAAAAAATTTTTTTAAATATATAAATACAAAAAAAAAAAAAAAAAAAAAAATGGAATGATGTTTTGAAGCTCTAAGAAAAACGATCCAACAACTTGTGGACTGGATGGAACCTGACGAAGAGCTGGAAGTTAAGGAGGGGGAAGTGATATTTCGATACCAGGATCAAAAGTTCTACGAAGGGTTTGGAAGGACAAAAAGGAGGACCAAGGCTCAGCAAATTCATGACCATTTGGCTCTGTATCTACAAGACCTGGACCACCCCATGGGGACCAAACTTGCAATGCCCATCGAAGCCGCTGGAGAAACTTGGAGTAAAAAACTAAGTAACATATGTAGCGACATCGAAGACCTAAATCCAAGAACCCAATCAATGGCCGAGATATTGGAGACCTACTATAAAGTAGGAAGCTTGCTGTTTGAGAAGGAATGGGGTAATGAAGCACGAAGGGAGCTGGCTGAGCAACTTCCGACTTCCAAGGTGGGCTTAGTGTGAAAAATTGCAAAGGAGTGTAAATGTTGTTTGTTATATGGGGTGAGTGGTGTATGCGTCAAGTTCAGCATATATCGATTTTGGTGTTGAAACGAATGTTGGAGGGAGATTTTTCTGGAGCGATGTTGGCGGAAGCAGGAAGGTTGAGAGAGGAGGAAATTCGGAAAATGGTAGTGAGTTTGCAGAAGCTCACTCTTTGAGCAGGGGAAGATGTTACGAAAAATTCTGTATTTTTTATTTTTCTTTTGCTGTTTGTTTATATGTATAAGTTAGTATAGTATAGTAATAGGGTTTGAAACCCCCATAAAAGGCTCATCTGAATAAGTTAGTAATAGGGTTCGGAACCCCAGTACAGGGTATGAGACCTTGTTGTTGTGCATGTATTGTATAATTCGTAGTTAGCATAATGTAGTAATAGGGTCCAAAACCCCAGTATCGTGTTTGAGACCCCAAGCTAGGGTTTGTAACCCCAAATTCGGGTCCGAAACCCCAGCAGAGGGTTTGAGACCCAACCTCTAAAATTTGTATAAATAGGGCATATTTCCAATAAATAAAGATTCATTCTGCTAAATTAATAAGTAGATAGTATAAATTGAAACCCTATCAGTGGCAAAGCAATAAGCGATATTCTTGCATAGTGTAGCCTGGCATTTGGACCTCCCCCTAACATCCACACTGTTTCTTAGAAACCGGCAACCCCTAGTATTTGGCACGTGACCTACGACGACCTACCAGTAGTCCAGTAATTGAGACCACCCTGGACCAGCCCCGTCAATTAGTCCGTGGCTAAATTGAGGACACGTCTGTGCTTGTAGTGCTGTGCTAAAACCGGCAATGTATAAGGAAGGCTCTCCCCAACTACAACAACTCCCACCTATACTGGCTAACTTGCTCTAACTCATCTCTTATTATAAACATTATTAACTCATCAATCCAGTATATTTTATCTAAAGCAGACCTCAATTTATCTACAAGCCAACTATATAAACTTATTCGCAAAATCCAAAACCATCCCTTATTTGACCGAATACCATTTCATGCAAACTCCTTTTACCTTGATCTTACTCTTAAAGGCCTTATACCTAAAGCCCTAATTGAAACAATTCATAACTACAACATACCTA